AGCATCCCCAGTACCTAAAATGTCCTTGGCATAAGGGTATGGATTGCTTTCTTTACCTGAGGGGATTGGTTTTGCTTTCAGAAGACTGATTAAGAAAAAGAGACATCGCAAAAATAGACTCGTGCGTGTTCTCTATTCTGCAGGCAATGGAGATCTCCCAGCACGTATCAAACTGTCACAGCACACTAACTGTATTGCTAGCCAAAGTAAGCAGGTAGCAATAAACTATCTACCCTATCAGTAACAAGAGTCAGTTAAAGATGGCAAAGCCAGTGCAACCAGATTACAGCACCAAGCCCAAGCTAAGTGCTTTGCTCTTACTAAGTTAGCCTTAACTTTGCATTCAGAAACATCACAATTTTTCCCTTCAGGATCCCTCTCAAAAGGCAACAGTACAGCATGATCTCAGCATGCTGATGTTCTGCCAGTTGGCTGCTCCCCCGTTGCAAGGAACCCAGCTCACGTCTCGCATCTAGCTTGTTCCAGACAACGCTGCATCCTTTGGGAATAGTTTTCACAGGGCAGAAGCCCCAGGCAATTCAGATCTCCCCTGTCTGATCCCAGAGGTAACAGTGAATAGTGAATAAAGACTGCAATTAAACTTTGTCAAGCTTTCTTCTTCCTTTCAATTCCCTATCTAACTCCAGCAACATTATGTGATTGAAGTCTACGTAATTCCTCCCTTTACAAGAGAGGAAGGGAAACAATGCAGAATAAGGTCTACATCATTCCATTGCTTATTCAAGTACTGATGATACTTGCAATTAAATCAAGTATTTTAAACAACTCACACTGCATAAACACCTCACAACATAAACAACAGTTTTACGAAAAGGTTGTGCAGAGCAGTGCTATCTGTCACAATAAGGAAGAGACTAGTCATCTCACCTTCCAGCACATATTCTTGTAAACGAACAAAGCACTAGGGGTGCAGATTAATGGCTATGACCTATTTTGTATTTGTTTCATTTCTACATTGAAGGATTATATCCTCTACACTTCATTCATTAGGTTTCTTTCGTAAGTTTTATTCGTTATTAAAACAGTTGTACTATACTAGAGCAGCAGAAAGAGCTGCACTGAATCCATCACTTCATAGCTTTAAAATAGTGGAAAAGTGGATAGTGGAAAATGAGCGCCTAAAGCCTCCCCCCAAGAAAACAGTACAAATCCTGTACAGATGATAAAACTGAGGTGGTCAGAAGGCAAGTCAAACAAGGTGAGGGCAGTATGAAGGAATTTTCACTTTTTCCTTCTGATAACTTCATGCAACAGCTACCAGCCGAAACCTCCGTTCCTTCTTCAGCCTGACAACCCACCTCCTTCCTTCCAGTATATTTAATAAAAACACACAATGCATCTTTGTGAAGGAGACATAACAAAATACAAACCACAGGACTGCTCCGTATGTATGATAGTAACTCTTCCTCTGACAGGTCTTCCTCAAACAGAGAGAGAAAGCACAGGAGAACTGCACATCAATTGCAGGCTCTTGGCAGGTTCATCACGGAACTAGCTCAACACTTGGTGTCCTAAGTATAGTAGTTTTATTTTTTCTTCTCTCCTTTTCATGCAAGTGTGTGTGCAACTCAGGACATGCATGTACTGAACATTTACCCGTCCAAAATGAAAATTTTATCAGGCACTTTTCTTACAAATACCAACCCATCCAGCCCTGCAAAACACGCAAGTGGGCAGTAAGCCTGGTAAGACCCACCTTAATAATTGCATCTCAGTTTATGGCTTAAACGTCTGCCCACTCCCTTATATCTTAAAGAACTTATCACAATAGTGTAAATAAAACTATGAGAAAGAAGAGATGTAAAGAATGCATTCCTAATGCTAACAGAGTACAAGCTAAAGAACGCTTTTTACAAAGAATGGTTTTAAACAGAAAGTGAAGGAGCAATAAAGTACTAGTAGATATTTCTCTGTTCTAAAGCATTACAAGATTTTTCACCAGTGCCAAACCAGTGCGCTAATCCCCTGCAATTATTGTTCTTAGAGCACGTGGAGACCATAAACAGAGATGGAGAAGCAGCCTTTACAGAGCAATTATCCCCCTACTTCCAGGCATTCTCTGTTACTTTAACTCTGTCACTAGCACCCCATGCTGTAAGACTGCACCATTGTACAGAGAGAGAGACACACACTGCATGAGGCCTAGGCTGGCTCAAGACCCACCTCCCAGAGAACAAGCAGGTGGTCACTCAACTCTTGAAGAAGCTCCTGAAGACAGTGAGGCAACTCTGTCCATTCAGAGGGCTTAGCCCAAGTCACCATTCAAGCCCCAAATCTTTGAGGACTACTTATGTTTTCAGAACAAGTCAGGCAGACTAACACCAAGCACTAAGGTTATATTATAAAAATAGGGGGTAATTTTTTATTATCATTAGTGTGCTATTACACCATTTACTAACGCATTATCATTGTCACTGGGAAAAGAGCTCTACTAGGACTGGTAATTACAGAAAAATATTAGAGAAAACGAGTGTGAAATCCTCAGTTCATCAAAGAGTCAGAATACTAACAGCACTGTTCAAGAGCCTTTGGTAAGTGATGTGCAGCTCTCTCATGCCAGGCAACCAACTAAACTGACTGAAGAGAAAGCTGCTTCCCCACCTTGTGCCTACAATTCACATGGTAAGTCACCCACAAGCAACAGGCAATGGTAAAGCCCAAGGTCTCTCAGATGCGTTGGTCAGTTGGCTTGTTGCATAAAAAACACGACCTACCCTGTATTACATTACTTTTGATTGAATATAGAAAGTAAACTCTGTAAACCCAACAATGGATATAAAATAAGACCTATATTGTGAGATACTACTCGGAAGAGAGACACGGGAACTCAGGAACTAACCCTATTACCATTCAGTTCTTGGTCAGACACGTACACCACTTTGAACAATTCACTCTCATCTCAAAAATTCAGTTTTCTTATCTGTGCAACGATATGGGCTGCTTGCCCTGTCCTCACAAGCGTGTGTTTATGTATGGAAACTGCCTTAAAAATGACAAGTGCATTTATTAGAACCAATTTAAATGTATGAAATGAACTGAAGGTACAGACAGGATATCATACTATTGGCATTTCTAATGTTTCAACGGCATTTGTTCCATGATATCACACACAAGAATCTAAGTAATATTCAAGGCAGCATAAAGCAATAATATTTGCAGGCAGTTTAAGGCAAGTTAATACCCAACTTCCATTGAAAACACTAAGCCTGCATGCCTAATTGCTCCAGGGGCCTTTGAAAATCCCAGTGAAAATGAACAATAAGCAGTAAATCAATCCTTTCAAAATGAAAGCAACCCCCTCCTCTCCACTATCATAAGGTATTCCATCAAAATGTATTTCACTTACATAAACACATATTACATCATAACGGGTCAGAGCCAGAGCTGTGCAAGAGTGATTAATAGGGTTAATAATATTTTTCAGAAATATTAAAATCTTTTATAATATACTGTAATATAAATGGGGAAAGGGAGGATCATTACCATATTTCCCATCTATATGCCCGTATTATTAGCATTTGTCAGACAAAGAGGGTAGCATTCCTCAGATTTTCTATTTCTCTGCCCTGCAGAAAAAATAACAAGGAAATGGGAGTGCTTCCATCATACACTATGAAAACACCCTGCTGCCATTATAAGAGTCTAACTTCGTAGACACTGCCGCAGTTGAAATCAGCAGTTGATGGCATCAGTACAAAAGAATCTGTTACCTTTGTAAAATGAAGTAATCAAAACCAAAAAAATATTGAGGAAACAGAAGCTTCTAACAGAGATTGATTTTGCAATACTTAATGTCTCAATAGCTCCTTGGCAACACAGAATTAGACTCAGAGTATGTAATCATATGTAACTTCCTGCAGAGTAACCAGTATTAATTACTGTATTTTTAGTACTTGCTGACATGGGCCTCATGTAACAACACAAGAGAAGTAAAAATACTCCGCTATCTCCTTTACTCCTTCTTTGATGGAGCCTTTCTTGTACGTTTTTCATTTTCCAGTCTACAAATTGCTTCCTTGAGAGCAGGTGAAAACTTTGATTTAAATTAATGAGGTAAAGAAAGGAAAACAATCCCAAACTTCCCTGTTCAATAACAAATATCAATAACAACGGCCACTAAAGACCTTTTCCTTCCAGGACAAGGCTGCCATGAGGAAAGACATTTCTAAGAGAAAAGGAAGGTACAGGAATCAGAGGGTTTCTCTGCAACAAGAAACTCACAAAGAAGAACTGGAGAAACAGAAACCTTTCACTAAACTGATGCTACTGTAATACTCTACATGGTTACTTAGGCCAAATGAGAAAAGTAACCTACTTGATTTTTGGAAGTACTGAGACGAACTGTAAGATAACATTATTTCATGACTGATTTTCTTGCTGAAATGAGGTTAGTCTAACAAGTCCTAGAGGAAAGTTACATCTTTTATCACTCTAAGAAAAAAAGGTTTCATATTTAAAAATAACACTGCTGTTTCCTCTCTTTCCTCATGTGGAAACAAAACTAATTTTCTGTACAGGAATTCTAAAGATAAAGAGTTCAAAGTGATCTGATGGAAGCAGACGTACACTTTTATGGAAAAATTTAAGGAGCAGGAGGGAAAAAGCATTAGAGACTAATTCAAGGATTTAAAACTAAGTTCATGCAACAATTCCCAGCCATTTCCCTTCAAAGTGAAGTTGAAGTTTAGTCTCATTTTCTTTTCAAAGAAAATGCAAATGTGAAAACAATAAAGGAATTAGGCACTGGCTTGCATTCTTTAGGACTGAAGTAAAAGGCAGATAGGCACACATCACATTGTTATTAAACAGTTAGCATACCTGTTATAGCAGCTCAAAAACACTAAAAAATAAAATACCTCCTTTACATGACCATAATCTCTATTTGTACATCAACAATGTATTTTAATGAATAAAGTCCTGGTCAGGCACACACATCTGTTCACATGTCAGAGTTCTGCCAGAAAAATGTATTAACTTACCTTGTCTTGGTTTTCCTTATTTTTGTAACACAAATTTCCAATCAAACGAATGAGATGAGATTTAAAACCCACAGCTGGATGTGAAATTTCTTCTTGCCCTGTTATAGCATGTGTAGCAGTGAAAATATTTACAGTCTGTTTCCCAGCAAGATGAGTTAATCTCAGGGTATCTACAGAAAACAAGAATATTTTAATTAATTACCACATGAAAATTACTATCACTTTGTGCAGAGCTTGAACCTAAAAATTAGCAGTAAAAGTTAATCAAAATAATTTCAGATATTCAGCAATGTGTCAAAAGAACTTCGAACATTTTCTTAATTTCTTAATTTGTGCTAGTATAGCCATAAAAGGCCATCCCAAGGTCAGAGGTATTTTTTGTATCCTTTATACACACTTACATAGTTCAGACATGAAGTCTAAAGGCTGGTGCAATTGGTCGCTACTTGAAGAGTCAGAATTTGTAGGCTGTTGATGATTCTGGCACTATAAATATATTTCTAAAATCAAGTTTTTTAGAAAACTTTCTTTAGTTCAAATTTGTCACAGCAACACATACTAATTTTTCTCTGTTCTCCAGTCCGTTCCTAGCTCTGTAGTATGAGAAAAGATTTCAAATATATTTAGCACCTTGACACATCTTTACAAATACTTCAGTGCCATAATCTTGTCAACTGAGAAACACTAATGTTCCCATATAGTAAATGCTAGTTTACAGCAACTAGGATTTTTTCTACAATGGTCCAGAGAAAAATTGGGGAGAAGGGAAACTGAAATCTGTAAAAACAACATTCCACAAAGAGACCACACCCAGAAGAAAAGCTGAAATCATGTGAACACCTGACAGTCTATACAGCTGAGAAGCCAATTCACTAAAGGCTGTCCCTATATTTAAAAATTAAGCAAGTATTTCTCCTCTAAGCAACCTGCAATACTGCTAAATTGCCTAGCATGCCATTGCGCCCACGATACTTCATGCAACTTACTCATCTTTCATAGAAATTTGTTTGCTCTCGTAACTCATAAAAATTGGCAGCGTGTCTCATCTTTCTCATGGCATTCACTTTGTGTGCTTCCTTGCCTTATAGTCTTAGTATTTTCCCCCACACAAACAAATAAGAGAATTCTGTGGTCTTCCCAAACCTTCTCTCCCTGTCCTTAAGGACTCCTGAACAAAAGGATTAAAAACAAAAAATAAAACAAAACAAAAGACCCACAAAAAAGTTAATAAAACTCTTGAAAATTTTATTACAGTGCAGACAAAAATGCAATGAGCAATGCACCTACCTGGAAAGAGAGGTACAGGAAAAGGTGAAAGAAAAGCAACCATTTCCCATGGATGACGCGAACCCAGAGAGAACAGTGCTCCTCTCAAACGCTGCACATTGACACAACACAGCAACTGCTCCTGGGATGTCACCCAGGCCCTCAACCAAAGGACACCTCAATCTGCCTTTCTCTCATTATCTCAAAGAGCAACTCTTCCAAAATTTCCCTCAATCCAAAAGACCTCCCCGGTGATATTCCCCAAACACTGTGCAATCAAGTCATTCGCAGTGCTGAAGATATTATTAACACCGCAGTATTACTGTCTACCCCGATCCAACAATAATTGCAAATAGCAACACACGCTCCTTATTTGATACTTAAAAGACCATTCAGATATTTTTCAGATCTTTCAATCAGTCTTTTAGTAATTTCCAATAGGAAATTTCTCATGATATAAACTGTAGAGAAGAACTGCTTCATCAGAAGATTGATTAGACGAAAATCTTTTGCACTATCTATCATTCTTCTGGTCTTCAGAACTAAATACTGAAGGTGATATAACCCATCAATACAGTTTACTCTGTTGGCTAATCCAGGATTTAAAGGAGTCTTAAAGAGAAGCTACATGAGTTGATCCAATTCCTGTTGGCAGAGGGCATGTGGGAAATACGTAAGATGCACGTGGTAGCAATGTTCCAGCCTGCACCCGTTTCATTAGCCTGGAGACAGCTGCAGGGAAAAGTCAGTTCTAAACTTAAGTGACCTGTAGCTCCTTGAAATTCTCATTTAAGTTGAAAGACTTATAGAAGCATTCAGATGATACAATGCATACCTTTCAGTTTCCTCAAAACACACAAGCGTATATGCAAAAAATACATCTTGTTAGTCATCTTACTGTCAGCAATAAATCTATGAACCTGTCATCAAAAATTCAAAAAGAGAGGTTTGGCTGGGTTGGGTTTTTTTTGTTTGTTTGTTTTTTTGTTTGTTTGTTTGGGGTTTTTTTTTGTTTGTGGTTGGGGGTTTTTTTCCACAGCAAGGACTCTCCACACATATTAGTCACAGTTAAGAGCTGTTTCAGCCTTTTTCACTCTGATGTTTTAGCCAACATATTACATATTTCTCTTTAAAATCCATAAAATTTTACAATTTTCTCAGAAAACGGTGGCATACATCAGTTGTCTCAGAAAGTGCTAAGACTTAGGAAGGCACAAATCAGTATATGTCCTCCCTGAGCACACAGTTGTCTCAGAAAGTGCTAAGACTTAGAAAGGCACAAATCAGTGTAAGTATATGTCCTCCCTGAGCACATAGGGTCTCTCTGGACCATCCTGGCTTAGTTTTCTTTGTGTACAGCCCTTTGCTCGTTAGAATCATACAATCGTCTAGGTTGGAAGAGACCTTTAAGATCATCAAGTCCAACTATTAACCTAATACTGACAAAAACACCACAAAACCATGGCCCTAAACCCGTGCCTACATGTCTTTTAAATACTTCCAGGGATGGCGACTCCACCACCTCCCTGGGCAGCCTGTTCCAATGCTTAACAACCCCTTCTGTGAAGAACGTCTTCATAACAACCAATCTAAACCTCCCCTGGCATAACTTGAGGCCATTTCCTCTTGCCCTATTGTTTGTTATGAGTGAGAAGAGGTCAACCCCCACCTCTTTACAACCTCCTTTCAGGTAGTTGTAGAGAGCGGTAAGGTCTCCCCTCAGCCTCCTTTTCTCCAGACTAACCAACCCCAGTCCCCTCAGCCCCTCCTCATAAGACCTGTTCTCCAGACCCCTCATCGGCTTTGTTGCCCTTCTCTAGACTCGCTCCAGCACCTCAATGTCTTTCTTGTAGCGAGGGGCCCAAAAGTGAACACAGTATTTGAGGTGGAGCCTTACCAGTACAGCAGAATGATCGCTCCCCTTGTTGTTTCTTACCAGAAGAAAGCTTCTTTTGAACTGACCTTTAAAAGTCACTGAATTCGGTTAAGAACATGTAAACCGTACTTCGTTTCAAGTTTTCAGGAATTTAGGAAACAGAAGGCAACAGGCATGGAAAAGTCCTTTTTCTACTTCTTGAGGCAATTCTTCCACACACATTCCACCAGTGGAAGAACATAGGAAGCAGCTGTCCTTTGCATAACTCTTACTGTATAAATAGCACATTGCTGACAGTTGAATCAAGGCTCTGTTGGGTAATAGGAGCCAACAGAGTTAAGTAGAGAAGCAGGAAAATTCCAGGAACAAATCAAATATTTGAAAATGTAGATTAACTCAATCTCCTATTTACTTATTTTATTAAAAGGTCAGAATCATAATCGCCACCAGTTGTGAAAAACATGTTTTCATTCACAGAGCAACATGTTTTGCAAGCCAACAGTTAATAAACCTTGTGACTTTTCACTCACCTATGGCTGTTTCAAGCAAACCAGGCAAAGCCTGTAGATGTTCTAGCTGTCCGTTGTTTGATGTCATTTCACAAAGAACATCAAGAAGACGAATTGTAACCAGTGCTTCCTATAAATGAGAATTACATTTCTGAAAACGGCTTATGAAGGATAGCATAAGAACATAAAACTGACAATCTAAACGGAGGACAGGACCTCTAGCACCTCAGGTTCTTTGCAGGTCTTCTAAATTACCAAGAATAAGTTTATATAAAATGAAGACATCTTTCTACAACAACAATAACGTATTACACTGCAATAATTTCTTTTCTACAGTCAAACAGTGTTATACGTGCCCTGAAAAGTCACGGGGAAACCAAAACAGAGCCATAAGGGATAAAATTTTAACAAAAACACAGTAGCTTCCAAAAGCAGAAATGCAGAAAATTACTAGCTGAGAAAATTATTTCTGTATAAATGTTTTCTTTGAGTTTATTCAGTAGGAGCGTCCCACTTTAAAGATACAAACACCAACTGTAAGACACCAATTTGTTATCCGCAGGAATTTTGTAAAGTTCTGTGGTCAAATGAACTTTGGCTGCGAGAATTTACATTATTCTTGGGTAAATAGGATTGGGATCATAGATGCAGCATTTTGGTTAGGTATGAGACACACAATTTATTTGCATATTATTTATTCAGCCAGAGAACTATTTTTTCTCACAGGCTATGTTGATGCGTGTTTATAATGGCAATCCAGCACTTACAGAATTTACCTTAAGAGTGTATGGCATAATTTGGAACACCACATATTGCTCAAGAACCAGACTGCGACTGCAAGATGATTCCACACAAGGTGTGGTACATAAACTGCAAGGAGCCTTGAAAAGGCTCAGATATAGGTCACAGTAACTATTCATGCCTTGTCTGGTCCAGGACAAAGAGACTTTTACTTACCAACGGTACAATATTTTTGAATCCATATAATCAGTATAACATAATTGAAATAATCAACAATAGTGTTCAGTAATTCAGTACTACTATTACTCCCATGTTTTGCTCCTACCCATGCTCCTTGAAGAAAAATCGGTATAAGGTCCAGGTCCTAAAGCCGTGTTTTCACTTTTTTTCCTCAAGCAAGGATAGGCAGGTTTTACTTACCAACGGTACAATATTTTTGAATCCATATAATCAGTATAACATAATTGAAATAATCAACAATAGTGTTCAGTAATTCAGTACTACTATTACTCCCATGTTTTGCTCCTACCCATGCTCCTTGAAGAAAAATCGGTATAAGGTCCAGGTCCTAAAGCCGTGTTTTCACTTTTTTTCCTCAAGCAAGGATAGGCAGGTGCAGGTCACAGAATCACAGAATGGTCAGGGTTGGAAGGGACCTCTGGATATCTAGTCCAACCCCCCCACCAGAGCAAGTTCACCTACAACAGGCTGCACAGGACAGCGTCCAGGTGGGTTTTGAATGTCTCCAGTGTGGGAGACTCCACAACCTCTCTGGGCAGCCTGTTCCAGTGCTCTGCCACCCTCACAGTAAAGAAGTTCCTCCTCATGTTAAGATGGAACTTCCTATGTTCAAGTTTGTACCCATTCCCTCTCATCCTATCACTGGGCACCACTGAAAAAAGACTGTTCCCATCCACCTCACACCCTCCCTGTAAGTATTTGTAAGCATTAATAAGATCCCCCCTCGGTGTTCTTTTCTCTAGACTAAAAAGACCCAAGTCCCTCAGTCTTTCCTCATAAGAGAGATATTCTAATCCCTTAATCATCTTCATAGCCCTTTGCTGGACCCTCTCCAGCAGATCCCTGTCCTTCTTGAACCAGGGAACCCAGAACTGGACACAATACTCCAGATGTGGCCTCACCAGGGCAGAGTAGAGGGGAAGGACGACCTCCCTTGACCTACTGGCCACACTCTTCTTGATGCACCCCAGGTGAACAGGACTGGACCCAGTACTGACCCCTGAGGGACACGGCTCATTACTCACCTCCAACTAGACTCTGCACCACTAACCACAACCCTCTGAGCACTACCTGCCAGCCACTGTTCAATCCACTGCACTGTCCATTCATCTAACCCACACTTCCTAAGCTTGCCTGTGAGGAGGATGATGTGGGAGACAGTGTCAAAAGCCTTGCTGAAGTCAAGGTCTTCCCCTAAGTTATTCAATAAATTGCTTTCAACAGCACAAACCCAGCCTCTGAATACATTGGTCATTGTCCTGTTATGAAGTAAGAGTATCCCAACTGCATTTCATAGAATCATAGAATAGTTTGGGTTGGAACGGACCTTAAAGATCATCTAGTTCCACCCTGCCTTGCCACATGCAGAGACACCTCACACGAGACCAGGTTGCTCAAAGCCCCATCAAGCCTGGCCTTAGACGCCTCCAGGGATGGGGCATCCATAACTTCCCTGGGCAACCTATTTCTTTCCAATATCTAATCTAAATCTACCCACTTTCAGTTTGAAACCATTACCCCTTGTCCAATCGCTACACTCCCTGATAAAGAGTCTCTCCCCACCTTTCCTGTAAGCCCCCTTTAGGTACTGTAAGGCTGCTAGAAGGTCTCCCTGGAGTCTTCTATTCTCGAGGCTGAACAGCCCCAGCTCTCTCAGCCTGTCCTTATAGGAGAGGTGCTCCAGCCCTCTGATCATCTTCACAGCCCTCCTCTGGATCCAATCCAGTAGGTCCATGTCCATCTTAAGTTGGAGGGCTCTAGAGCTGGACACAGTACTCCAGGTGGGGTCTCATGAGAGCAGACTAGAGGGGCAGAATCAGCTCCCTCGACCTGCTGGCCACACTTCTTTTGATGCAGCCCAGGATGCAGTTGGCTTTCTGGGGTGTGACTGCACATTGCCGGCTCATGTTGAGCTTCTCATCAATCAGCACCCACAGGTCCTTCTGCTCAGGGCTGCTCTCAGTCCATTCTCGGCTCAGCCTATATTTGTGCTTTGGATTTCCCTGACCCATGTGCAGGACCTTGCACTTGGCCATGTTGAACTTAACGAGGTTTGCACAGGCCCACCTCTCTCTCAAGCCTGTCAAGATCTCTTGGGATGGCATCCCTTCCCTCCAGCACATCCAACTGCACCACACAGCTTGGTGTTGTCAGCAAACTTACTGAGGGTGCACTCAATCCCACTGTCCATGTTGCTGACAAAGATGTTAAACAGCACCGGGCCCAGAACCAACCCCTGAGGAACGCCACTCATCACTGGTTGCGACTTGGACATGGAGCCATTGACCGCAAGTCAAAGTGTGGCCATCCAGTGAAATCCTTATCCACTGAGTGGTCCATCCATCAAATCCATGCCTCTCCAATTTAGAGACAAGGATGTTGTGCAGCACAGTGTCAAATGCTTTGCAAAAGTCCAGGTAGAGACAGAGACAGTAAGATTTAGAAGACAGTAATCGGGTATCTACAATTTTTAATCTGTACTCCATTACCTACATACATAATGCAAGCTCTGTAGCAGTGGATACTATGAGGTGTGGCTTTTCGTTTCTCAGCCTCATCCTTTTCCCCCCCCCGCCTTTTTTTTTTTTTTTTTTTTTTTTTAAGATGTCTTTCTTCACTGTCCTCTACATATTGCTTCACAGAGTTTTACACTACTTTCTCTCCCTTTCTCTTATCCTACCATCTGGCTCAGTTCAGCAACTGTTCCACCTGGAGTTGAGAAGAGGAAGAGATTATATAGAAAGCACAAAAGAACCCCCAAATTCTTATCTACATTGGAAACTTGGTATTTTCAAAAAACTGTTTAAACATCTCTGGTTGGGTTCTCCCCCCCTCAACCTTCCAATTATTTTTTTTCGTCCTCCACCTGTACAAAAGAAAGGCAGAATAAAGCAGAAAATACTTCCTTTTAAAATTCAGCAACAAGATGCTGTTCAAATCCCAAAATATTTTGAAATCTGACAGCCATCTTGATGTGGATATAATCTGAAAAATAATTAAAGAAATAATTGAAGAGTTTTTAAATAAATACATTTCAAGAGAGATTCAGAAAAGATGTTCCTTATAAACAGATGAAATAAGAACTTAAAATCCAGGGAAGGGTTTTATTTTGCAAGTATGGTTGAAAGTTAGTGAAAGCAAACTGATGCTGAATTCAGGCTTATTATGGGAAAACTATTTTTAATATTGGTTTAAGCATGGCAGAAACATATGATTAGCTTTTCATTGGTTTGAGATAGAAGCTACAAGACCTGAAGTTCCTTAGGGAAAAAAGTCAATGTCTACATATAATAAATTAAACAGTGGATAGGACACCCAGACAACGTTTTAGGAGTCAGGCCAGTTCAAGGACTGTTCCCAAAAGGCAGTTTTCAAATGTGGCCACGCAGTTTTGGAGGCTAAGACAGCTTACTAGTACAGACATAGCCTGACCAATGCACTTGGCTTCAGGGCCACAGAAAAGCCCAGGCAGAGTTTAGTTGAATATCACAGATGTTGCTTAAAGCATTTTTAATGACAGACTGTACATACACAACTGTATTTTTTTCAGACAACTCCTACACAAAAACTAAAATATTTGTATAATAGAGGAGAAATTGGTGCAATTTTTGATCATTTCTAGTAAGAAAAGCAACAGTTCCATGAATTTAAGCTGGCATTTTTCTTTTCCCATGGCAAGCATATGTTATGAATAAATGTACACACATTCTTTTAAAAAACTATTCTTGCCATTGCTCTCCATTTATGCAGCTATTATGACTTATATTTTGTGCTCATTAAACAATCCACATTTCCCACCAAATAAGTGACACTCAATTTAACTTATCTTACATCATGTTTATGTTAGAGAAGGATAAAAAAATCAGTGTCAAGCAGGGCAAGTTATATAGTATTATTCTCAATACTGCTGTCCCAGCACCTTCAAGTTGGACAGATACCTCCTTCTGCTAGGCGCAAACAAATTTTTTTTTCCAAGAACTGAAACCACAGAATACTTGGAAAGTAACCACACAGGACAAAAAAGAAAAAGGGGGGGGACGGACAGACGACGGGACGACACACAGGAGGGGAAAAGAAAAAAAAAAAAAAAAAGAGAGAGAGAGAGCAATGAAATGAGAAAGGGGGGGAAGAGGGAGATGGAATTGTCTGTGTCTCAGTATATGTTCTCTTACTCCCAAGCTGATACCTCTACTAGAAGTAGTCAACCAAGTTTTCCAACATAACTTAAACTAAGCAGTTGGGGCAGTGGGAGGACATCGTGCTTCTTAGACAGGTAAGAAGAGATTTATTTTTTTTTTTAATGAATCCAACTATCACCTCCTCATAAAGTGGTTTTTAATATCTTTTCATAACACCTCTCAACATACCTTTAAAGTTCTTGTGCCCATTTAAACAGACAAACAAATTGGCAAGTACAACACTGTGTAACATGATCATATAAAAGCATTTAAAGACCAATATTTTTGCCTTTGATAGTAAATTAGTTGACAGCTGTTCTCAAGAGTTTCTACAAATGAAACTATTACAGGTTAATTTCATTTTAACAATAAAATGCTTCCAACTACATGTATATTGGGTAACCCAATTTCAACATACCACTGTGGTCATTTGACAATACAGAAGCTAGATGTGACTTTTTTTTAAAGATCTTCTGAAGAAAATACAATAATTACACTTCTGAAACTAAGCATGATTAATCGGTGAGAATCGGTAACTAACTCACTCTATGTTTGACTGACTAAAACATATTCTCAGGCTTTTAGTTTTCTGGCTTGTCTTAAATAAAAAACAAACAAACAAGCAAAACAACTCACCCCTAAATCAGCTGAAAACATTAAAACTTTAGCTATATGAGCGGGACCAAGAACTGAGAGCAGTATGACCTGGCACTGCTCACAATACGATGACCTAACAGCACAAACAAGGTCACTGCAAGTTATAGTGCAAGTTGCTTTCTGTATTCCCAAAGGCTTTGTTAGATCTTCAAGCAGCTTGGTGAGAGTAAGAGGAAAAATAGAAGACTGGATTATTTGAAAAGACCTCTACCCTTAGATGGCCTAAACCACCTTCCTGCACTATATGGGGTGGCAAGTAGCCAGCAACTCTTGAATACTTCATCAGGAGGAAATAAAATAAGCCCATCCAGGACGCAGCTCTGCTTCAGAGGTTCCCAAAGTGCAACCCACAAACCATCTGTGACCCATAAAAGCCTTCCTATTTAGCTTGCAAAGGGACTTCATTGTGGCCATCCTCAACAGAACCAGTTCATTAAGTCTGAGGCAATAACAGATTTCTTCCAAGTGGACTGGAGTTGGGGCAAGTGTCTGGGTGCTCTGGAGACAGGAGCACTGTCTTAGACTGCCACTAAGAGCCCAGCAAGCTCTGCAACTTGATGCGTGGACGCTAGCTGGCTCCAGGAGTGCTGCGTTGTCAGCACCATGCAAGGTCCACCAGAGAGCCCCAAATGATTGGGAAATGAGGAAGAGTCAGTAATGAAAGCCCTCGCTTGCCAGAATGATCACTATACATTTCAGACAGCTCCCTTGCACTGAGCCAATCACACACACCCCACAGCTCCCCACGATTAGAACTTGACCTTCCAGGTCCCAAACAAATCAGGAACACCTGCCTTACAAATAGACAAATGCACTGGGGGTTGGACTAGATGATCTCCAGAGGTCCTTTCTAACCCTGACCATTCTATGATTCTGTGATTTTCAGAGAACTACTATTTGGGACGTTAATGATGTACTAATTACCAAGTTATCATCAGTTATTTAAGTTTTTTAAAAAACCCACCCAAGATTTATTTACTTCAGTACTGCTAGAAAAAAATAATTTACTCCATTTTTACCCCAATTAGGGGGGGATGCTATAAATAAAATAAATATTTCAAGAATCAAAATTTTGATTCATATTTGAATAAAATATAATTCGCAACCCAAATAAATTATAGAAGTGATCCCTAGTAAGAACATAATAAAACACCCAAACATGTGACAACTTGAACATTTTTAAAATTTTGAGATATTTAATAACGTGGTAGATTTATTTCTATCTCGAAGTACCATTTTCTTCGTCATCCTCAAATTAAAAGCAAAATTGGGCTGCTGTCTTACAGATTCCACTGCGAACTCTCCCACTGCTTTCCCAATGTAAAGCAAACTGGGAATGTACACAAGTGCCACCTGGGTAGTAGCGACAGTAAAGATTTACCCCTTCAGATTCTAGTACTATAATGTTTTTTATAAGTCATACCTCATTTTCTGCATCTGCTGCAGAAGTTAACTTGAGCACAGCTTCACATTTCTCTTGGAAACAGCCTGCAAGGAAGTCAGCATGTCTCATAAACACGTTCATTTCTTCACTGTTAACTGGGTTCTTCTCACTTATTTTTGCCATCATCAGCTCTAACAAAGTAACTCTAGAATCAGAAAACAACTTGTTAATCAAATTCACTAAGCCATATAGAATTATCAGTAGAATAAGCTGATACAGCTTATGATAATGATACAAACAATTAGCATGCTAGTAATAGAGCTGATTTTTAAAAATGAAGAAGTTTTATGAACACTGGCAGTCAATTCCTGTTTGCTGGTTTATTTCTGCAAACTGTTCATTTAATTCATCATTCAATTAATACAATCTGGCCAGACAGTCAAGTCAATATTTTTCTCAAGTCTATTTAAATTTCTAACTTCTTATGTCCTAACACACCATTACTGTGACTGCATACTCCGTATGTCTAAAATTTCCACCAAAACAGCTCTTAAAAGCTGTTGTTAAATTCAGCAAAATAAACACAGACTACTTGACAGCTTCCGTTTGAAAATACCAGCTTTTCACAGCCCTTGCCTTGCATGCAGTCCTTCATTAATTCTCCTCCCCCAACCCCAAACCGATTCAGAGCAGAAACAGGGGAATTAAAAATTGATATGCACACTCGGGTCTTTACAGCTGTTTTATAATTGCCACTAGACGGACTACAGTAAATCCAAGGTAATTACTCATACACTCATTAAGAGTTACTCAGTGTATTAAATGAGTAAGTAAGTGGATACACAACGAAGCTGCTCTATAAAATGTACTTGGGTCATTTATTTTAACAGCTTTAATGTCATTTTATTTCTGATATCCCTTCAAGTTATTAGGACAAACTGGTAATATTTTGTGGAAGCTTCCCTGTACAACTCCAGCACAGAGGAGCACATGGGTTAGTGAAGTTCCACTGTAATTCTCTCAACCTGAAAGAGCGTTATTTATTGAATGAATGCAAGAGCAGGCTCAGGGTTTTCTTTCACTAAAATATTTGCAATTCAGATGGACAGACTGACATTTAAACATGTGGATTACCTCAAGTGCTTTTTCTTTTTCCTTTTTTTTTTTTTTTTAATTTACCAAGCAGGTTGTTACTAGGGGAAAAGTCTTTTTCTGTGGAAAAAGCACGGTCACTGCTTTATTAACCTCCAAGAACCCACCTCTATTAACTAAGTAACAGCGACTCGGTTCTTACTAAAGTCACCCCTTGATACCATTAACACAGCTGCATTAAACAATTATCCGAATGAGGACAAAAAGCTTTTTCAAC